GGACATCGAGATACTCGCAGACAATAGAGACTCTCTCTGGGAACCTCTCAGAATCGTCCTCGGATACCATAGAAACCAGATTGCCTTGACAGCTACCCTTAGAAAGGCTCTTCCTAGCTTGCATAGAAGAGATGACTCGAGGCACAGTCCTCGAATTCACCCCATAGAAAATAACGGGCTGATCAGAAATGGGGAAGAGACTGACTTCGCGCTCCTGGCACTGGATGTCGGCTCGATAGCGAGTGAGCCAGTCCATGCCCAAGATCACATCGAAGTCCCGCATTTAAATAACATAGCAATTGGCCTCCAAAACACACCCACCAATACTAACTGAAAGACCACGAATCAAAGAATCAGAGATGGTAATTTTTCCCGAGGCTAGACTAACCTCGAGAGGATCACAGTTGCACACATTATCAATAGACAGGGCCTCCAAGCATCGAGAGGAGATAAAGGAATGAGTAGCTCCAATGTCACATAACGCAAAGATAGGCACATTGGATAAGGAAATCATGCCAGACATGGTACCTGCGTTGTTGGCTGCCTCGTCATGAGCAATGGTATAGACACGAGCCTGAACCCCAGTCCTCTACTGGTGCGGTGGGGGCTGTCTGTGCTGCTGCTGCTGCTGGTAAGGTGGAGGAGGAAGCTGCTGCTGTTGATGAGGCTGCTGGTAAGGCTGCTGCCTGGGGGGTTGGGGGAGTGGCCGAAGAAGTGACCGGGCTTCATGCAGTTGAAGCAGACCTTCTGGGTGAAACGGCAATCTCCATGATGATAGAGGCCACACTTAGGGAATTTCGGGTTCTGACCCTGAGCGACTGGTGGAACGTCGCGGTAGTCTGGTGCTCCACGCTTTCCCTTTCGGTTGTCCCGACGGGAATCAAACTTTCTCTTGCCCGAACTAGAGCCGGGCGGCGCAGTAGAAATAGGCTGAACCAGCTGAGCAGAAGGGATAGAGCATCAAGAGTCTGATAACTCTCAAGCTGGGTGGCTCGAATAACAGTCTCATCAAAGGAAAGATTTCTCTGGCTCGCAACATGCATACGGAGGGTTTGATTTAGTCCATCACGGAACTTGTGGGCCTTCTTCAAGTCGGTGTCCACCATATGTGGAGCAAAGGCCTTCATGCGGGTGAACTCCCGCTCATACTCTTCGACTGATCCTGCTCCCTGCTTGAGATCCCAGAAAGCGCGCTCCATCCTCATTCAATAACTCTGAGGATAATACTTCTCCATGATCACCTCCTTAATGCGGTCCCAAGTTAGGGCATTAAACTCCGCCTGCCTCAACCTTCAATAGTCGGACCACCATAGGGCGGCATCGCCCTTCAGCATATAGCGGCCACAGATGACCTTTTGGGCATCGGTGCACTGCAGCAAATTGAAATTCTGCTATAACTGACGAATCTACTCTGCCACTGCTTCGGGCCTTACGACCCCGGTGAAAGTCAACTGGCGAAACTGAATCACAATATTGAGATGAGCCCCAACCGGATTGGAAGCCTGCTGATGAGGTGGAGATGGGGATGGAGATGGAGGTCGAGACGGAGTAGGCTGACGGTTGCGAGCATTACGACGAGCCATAGTTCTACATTAAAAATGGGTCGAACAGTTTAGCACAATAATAAGAAGTCTAGAGTTCAACACTAGAGTTCGCATTTAAAGGTGGATTAGTCCTAACCCCGATCTCATTTCAATAATTAATAATCAAGCAATGTACATTAATCTTAAAATCATTCAAGTACTCATACCTGAGTTGGCGCGGCACGACGAGAGCGAGTGGTCTTAACATGAATTCGAAACACATAATCACATAATTAACTTTTTATACTTAAACGAGTCTACAAAAACGCAGACTGTCTCTGATACCAAACTGTAACGGCCCACTTTTATTTCCCGAAATTCTGAATAAAATTTTTCAAATTTATTTCAAAAATAATATTTGAGGCGCTACTCATTTTTTAAAACATTAATCAATACTAAACACATTCTCAATATTCAACAATAATCAATACTCATAATCCATATTAGAATTCCAATAATGCAAATTCAATAATAATCCTAGGGAAATAATCCCATCAATAATTCAATAATCCAGTACTAGTGAAAAAACAATAATCAATAATGCAATAATATCCAAGTTCAACTTTTCAAGGCTGAAGCATTTATTCAATTTTAAAGACCACCACTCGCATCCCTTCCGCCGTGCCGCATAAACTAACCTGCATCCATGAAGAGCAGGTGGGGATGAGCACAATAGAAAAGTTGAGGTGCTCACCGCTATGCAATAATTAATCTCAAAAATCATGAAAATAATTTAAATATGGTCGCAACATGTATACGAAACAATAATCGTCCCATCTCCTATCAATAATCAATAATGGTCTCATGTGCACACCTATAACAATAGACTACTGCCGAGCTATATACCAAACGCCTTCCTCGAAGGCCTTACAACG